TAAAAAGAATATAAAAAATTGGCATATAAGACACAGCCATATAATAAACATCTTATTAACCGAGCTAGGTCGGTCTGTACGGGAGAATCTTGACCTCGGTAGCTGGTACAGACCTCACTGCGTTCGGTCTGTACTGGCGACCTCGGTCAAGATTCTCCCATACAGACCTTCCGCTCGGTTAATAAGAACTAATTATAATTTTGAGCTAGTCGCCACTCAAGGCTTTCTTCGCCCAATGTTCCGCTGTATGACTTTTCTACTTTACTCGCACTAACCCCAAGAAACTTATAATGACCATTGCCTTGCAAAATATGAAATTATTGCTCAATCATCCCGTGAGAAGGGCAAAGAGCTACCGGTATTCTTATGAACTCAAATTGGATGAAAAATCTGGTGAAAGTATTTACTTCCAATATTTCAGGCTTATTCAATAAAATCAATCTCGCAGAAAACTATTTTTTATGATAAAACCTAAACAGACATTAACTTTTCAATCTGATTTTCATTTGGCGACGTAAGCAAGGAAACCAAAAACCGAAAACGTGTAATGTAACAAATTAACAAATTTGAGGCACCTGTTGTCTATCGAGCAGTCATGAGTAATATTCTGCAGAATATCAACAACACTTTTAATTTTCCCCTAGCTCACTTAATTCACAGTCTCGTAACCAAAATAATGTGGACGAAATGCAGTTAGCCACAATCACTAGAACTAAACAGTCCACGAAGCGATCAAAATCGCTGCTAAAAATTTATTGGTTCCCTGTGAGGGCACGGTTACCAAGCTTCTTACCAGAGGAAGGACCTGGGACGGTTTGAGTTGTTGGAGAGGCACTGACAGATGCAGAGGTGGTTGGCAACGAAGCGATTGCCACGAACACGGATGCCTTTGATCTTGGCAGGGACGCAACATTTTCGTGCGCCTTAGCTTTAGTTTGCATTGAAAGCAATTGCTGATAAGTGAGTGTTCCTGACTGCAAAGAAGCACTTGTGACCAAATGCCTGAAATGTAGAGAAACAGTAAAGTGAGTCTCTAAGGGACTGGTCATTATATTGTGAGAGGGTGCTTAGGCTAGAGATGTTTGGTTGCGTCACAATAAAACTTGTCTGCTATCCCATCAAGCTCTGTTTTTTCCTATTGGTTAGTTTTTACCAATGTTACATCAATTATTCTAGTTCATCTGGGATAGAAGGAATATGATTTACTGCACCACAATCAGTGCTGTTTGTGTTTCACAAACCTTACTGCTTTAGTTCTAAAGTACACACATACTTTATCACTGCAGGCTTTCGTTTTAGCGGTCCTGTTGTGAGCTCGTGAAAGGCCCAGCTCCACGCGGTCAGCTGGCATTTTCCAAACAATCCCTGTAAGCGATTGTCGTAAAGATAATGAAAACCAATTAAAGAAAAAACAAACAAACAAAAAATATATAAAAATTATGGTAATATTTTGCCACGTACTACGAAGAAATTACAACTGAGATCCTAGTAAGAATGCTAACTTCCGTCAAGTCCGATTCTGCAGCCAGCTGTTCGTCTTCTTGTTTCTCTTCCTTATTCGCTATGTTGTTGTTTTTCCCCATCATTCTTTTGGTTGAAGGCTCCTTCGTTTGCTTGTTTCTTCGACTGTTTCTTTGTTCGGGCACCGTTGAAATAATTATCTTATCTAGTTTTATAACATCACTATCAGAAAATTACCTTAGAAAAAAAATACAACAACAAAAACCTCTTTAAGCAGAGCAAGTGGTCAAGGTTGTTACCTTAATTTCCCTCAGCCAACGTTCAAAATCACAACGCTTTTTGTATTGAACAGTGTTTCGACAAAATTGCTGCAGAAAGAACACACAAAATTAGATACAATGGCATTAAATAGTAATAAAATTGGACACAGTAATGGCAGTTCCATGTCTATAGTACAAAGCAGTTGGGAATTAATCGTACGTTAAACTAAAAACACCATCTTCCTGGTTTTTTTCTTTTTTTTTCCTTTTCTTTTATTGCCTTTGCTTTCTAGCTTTCTTCCGTCAAAACTGCGCTCTGCACCAAAAATTTTGCCAACTAACAAGTTCTTTTGTCATTCGCGGTATGAAACGTTTTTCCCGCCAAAATTGCATCACCGAGCACCACGCGCGACATTTTCCCGCCAGAAGAAAGCAATAATTGGCGCTCATCCTTCTTCACGGAAGATTACCGAAAAATTGCTTAGAACTTTCGCAGTATTGGTTGTTTTTCGTGCCAAAAACACTCTCAGAAACTAACCTCAGATGCACGACGCATCGCTGCCGCTAGGATGTCACTAGAAGTCTGTTGTTTGAAGGCAGCAATCTCTTTAACACAGGAAACCAATGAATCAGGCAACTACAAAAATCCCGTTGAAAAGATGAAAACAAGTGCAAACATGAGACAAGGACTACATAATTTAGAAGAGATGGGAAGTGAAACAAAAGATATCTGTAATAGTACTGCTTATCGCCTTTAAATTGACTCAAGCAGCAAGAATCGTTGAATTTTCCCTTCCAAATTTCATTTCGGACAAACAACAGTAGCTATAGTTTGGCCGAGTTGAAGTTGCATGAGTTTAGAAAATTCGGCCTAAACTATGTCTGGCGTTGCCACAATTAGGCTTTTTTGGATATAGAAGAAAGTGTCAAATCGCAAATTTATTGTTTCTTGTGAGAATGAAAACGAATTTAAGTTAGCGTTTTGCTCGATACTTACATTGTTACTGCTATATCGCCAGTTGGAGAATGCGACATCGCACAGCATCTTACCCAACCAATCACAACACGCGTCAACAAACTGGCACCTTTCGTCAGGTTTACTTAACTTTAGCATAGTCTCTTTAATCTGAAAAATAAGAAACGGCCGGAGAGGGTGAAAACAAATAAAAGCGTTTTAAACTCGTTCAAAAACTTCAGTAAGTCCGTCAGTAAGTTGTTCAACCAGTCGGTTGGTCAGTTCACTATTGGCCCGCCAGTCTGACAGTCAGTTTACAATTTTCTAATGGTTTCAAAGCACAAGTCAGCGAAAAGGTAGAGAGATTAGGGAGCAGAAAAAGAATGTATGATTGGCACAAAAACAACTCCTGAATAAATGTAGTTTAAAAGGAAACAGGACAATTATTGATTACAACATAAGGGATTCATTGTTATTTACCTGCGAACTTTAACATAGTAACCACTTTTTAAATAATCTATAGAGATGTTAGACGCAAGGCATAATTTACGTCAATTGCAAGTACCTTTTCACAGATATTAGTAACAATTGAGTAACCAATTGCAGCAAGGGCTTGTTTTACGTGCAAACTTTCACATATCAACCACTTTTTAAAGAATCTACTGAGCTGTTAAGACACAAGGCATTATTTACATTAATAGCAAGTACCTTTTCACAAACATTGGAAACATATGAGTAACCAACTGCAGCAAGGGCTTGTTTCACTTCATCAAACATACCATATCTTCCAAACACTTCAACACAACATGCAGCGTGAGATCTGCTTCTAAAAGGGGAGAGAAGGGAAGGCTTCTTGTAAAATGTCCCTCAGTTTAAGGAATACCATATTCAATACACATTCCTTTAGTTGAAACATACTTCATTCAAATAGAAAAAAAAAACAAAAATTCGAAGACAAGTAAACTTTGTACTACTCTGCTAGATGTAACCATCTTACACGTACCCTGCCTACATAAATAAAATAAAACTACTATTTTAGAATATTGGATATGAGGGAGAGGGAGCTTTTAGATGCTAAAAGTTTACAATGCCAATGTTTCAGTAGTAAAATTACAATGGCTAACTGAAATTGCTTTTTTGTAAATTTGTTTGCTTGTCTAATTTACAGTCAGACTTGTATCATGTATACTGCTATGTACATGTATAATACTCACGATGGGTCCTTCTTGAGAAAGTCTATCATTTCTGATTTTAAGGAAGGCCACTTTTCAGCATCCCTGAGAACCAGACAATACAGGTCAGTCTTAATTGAACAAATACTTACAACAGTAACTGATTTTGAGATGGGTAAGAAATCACATACTCATGTTGAGACAAAGCATTAGTTATTAGAAACATTTTGTCTTACCCACAAGCCTTCCTAACATCTTCAAAATTCTCAAAGCTTGGATCATTTTTGAAAGTCAACTCCATCAGCTGCCCTTCTAAAGAATCCAATCCAAATTTAACAATTTCCCTGGAGAACTGAACAAAATCAAAATGAAAGCTAACGACTATGTAACTCTTAACTCTTTAGCTCTCCATACCAGTTAGCATAATAAGAAAAAAGTTTGGTTTCTTGGAATGAGCAAAAATATTTTAAACCCTCTAAATGGGGGGTGTACTTACATTTGAAGACACAAGTCAGAGTTTCTGATCAAGGTTACGTACTCATTTCAATGAAATTTTCATGTTGAAGTGTTCAATAAAATCAATTATCAGCCAATACCATTACGATAATGAAGAACTGATGGTAAGTTTTCAGAAAAGTCCCCATATGTTATGGAACACCAGAAAAGTCATGGAATCTTCTACAGCATCATTTTTCATGGTTACAATATCATGGAATTTATTTCACATCACAGAGAGACTTAGAGTAGTCTTTTTTTCACTTAAAGTTGGAACTAACTTCTCTATCATAGGTCATGCAAAACATCCCACAGGTCCATGCAAAATTTTAAGAACATTCTTTTTCATGAACTTACGTCTTTCTTGATTTTCTTCAGTACTCCACAAAGCCTGTCCTTCCCATAAAAGCTGCCAGTCTTGCTCAGCAAGGCATCGATACTCTTCAGGAGGGTCTTGACAAGCAAAACAGCCCTCTTGCGCACTGAAGAGCCATCTAAACATTTATTCAAGTAATGACCTGATTACAACAGGTAAATCAACGTGGTTGACATTAGTTTGATTACACAAAGGCCACTAATTAGTACAGCAGGGCTCGAAATTGCGACCAATACAGTCGCATTTGCGACTTCATTTTTTTGTTTGTGACTAAAACTTCCCGAGAAGTCGCAAATTTTACGAGTAGAATAAAAAAGCCAGCAGTCGCTACTTTGCCACTATTTTTAATAATAGGTCTTAATAATAGGTCTTAATTGTTTTTAAGCAAAAATACATGCTAAAAGAAGAAAATTTTCATAAAAATAATTACAAGGCTATCCATAGTAATTACAAGGCTATAAACGTTACATAATATAAGATATTACATTGGCTAGCTACTCTATATTTTAAAAAGAGCCAATTAAGAAAAATATTTTTAAACATTTTGCCGAAATAAATACAGAAATGAAAAAATATATTGTCGTGTGCCTTGATTATCATAGACATTTGAAGATATTGGGTAAAATTGTACCTAATTTATCCGCAATGTTGTGCACGCAACGCCATTACCTTTATCGGTCGCCATCGCAGCGGTCTCTTATTCATATTTATTACACGACTCGGGCAGTCAGAGGGCCAATAACTAAAATCAACCAATCAAACTGCTCTATTGCCGGTCCAATATTCTATAAGTATTGGACAGGGCACCATCCCGAATGGTCCCGAATGATACCGCACTTGTGTCCCTTTGAACTTCAGTAGTATAATAAATCTCTTCTTAACCAAGCTTGCTCGGGACCGTACTGGAAAAATATCGGCCCTCAGTCTTTTTTGTACGGACCTCGCTGCGCTCGGTCTGTACTGTCAAGACCTCGGGCCGATATTCTCCCAGAACGGCCCTCGCCCTTGGTTAATAAGATATATGTATTGCAGGCTCATATCTTTGTTTGTTAAACCGGCTGGATTAGAGCTGACCCTTGCGTGGTTAATTATTTTTGCGACTAAAATTCGTGAACTTGCGACTATATTTACGTATCAAGTCGCAAAATGCCAACTAAACTTTTCTTTTGAGTGTCCCCATTTAGTGGTTATGTACTGCTATTTTAGTCTGACACTTAAATAAAGGTATTCATTCATTCATTCATTCTTTTAATTTGGAGCCCTGTGCAGGTTAACTGCAACTAACATTATACAGTCAGACAACTTAACCATTACTTTTCCAACATGTTGACACAATGATTATATAATTGTGAAAACTGTCTCCCTTATATATACCTATAGATATTTAAAGGCCATAATATCTATTTGAAGTTCTATGAGGCTGAATGAAATTTAGGCAAGGTTAAAATCGAGGCACGCTGGTCAGCGGGGGTTATGCTGCGGGGGCACCCCTTTGCAATTGCAGGGTCGCGTGGTGCTCAATATGTTTTGAGATTGTCCCGGATCTCGACATGAGCTGCTTATTGTGTTCCCACCCTCCCTCCTCTATGGTGAGCCACTTGTTGGTAAGTATAACAATTCCACTGACTTGTCAGTGTGACTGGTGCCAGGGGGGGGGGGGGGTGGACCGAGGTTGCATTACCATGGTAACCTCCCTGCTGTGGGCAGTCAGCGCGATTGCCACATTGCTATGGCACCTTCCTCCAAGCTCATCAGTACCAATGAGTTTAATTTCATATTTTACAGCATAATCATTATGGTCTCTGTCAATATGTCATTCATCAACAAATCATAATCAATACATTATTTCAATTGTATCTTTTAAAACAATATTACTGTACATTTCATGTATGTACCTGACTTTTTCTTTCCTTCTTTTAACATTAGCAATGCAATCTCATAATTCCTCTCAATTCCCCCAATGTCAACTTGTTTTTTAATCCAGCTACAAAGAGTACAAATTATGAGCAATATATAGTTATAAAATTGGAGACAATTTTAAAAGAAAATGTTGTACACTACTGCCCAAAAGTAAGTTGACAGTCCCTTCAATTTCAAGCCTTCGAGGATCGAGACTTGAGTCAAGTTTTGAGATACTCAAAAAGCATTTAAAGTACGTAAAACCGAGAAAAAGCAAGATCTCTTGCTTGATTAACTTATTACATGACATGATGTTTCCTACAGACCACAACTTTTACAAGTTTTTGCCATTTGTGTAGAATTACTAATGTTAGAAAATTCAAGTATGTAGTTCTGACATCTACACTGTATGCAGCCTGCCAGTGCCCAGCCTCCCAGCACCTAGTTGCACTGAGTACACCAAGCCTCCCAGCGCATGTACCTACAAAGGTCTAGGTTACTGCCTCCCGGTTAGCTCAATGGACAGAGCGCTGGACTGTTGTGCGAGAGGTCGAGGGTTCGTGCCCCAGCCGGACCAACACTCAAGGT